GACTCAAAAGTGCGCGACAATGGCGCTAGGATCTTACGATATCAGCATTTTACAACTAATTCTAGCATTTAGACATTTGTCTTGCATTCAAGTGCTTCTAGTAACATCGAAAGGATAAAAATGTTCATCCTGGCTCTTGTCCAATAGTGAGTTTGGTACTCCAAAGCGAAGCACAGCGCTACACTGACAGTCGCCGGACCCTATTTCTTTGTGCTCTAATATGTTCCGTGTCCTTGTATAGCGTTCGCCCATGCCACGGAGAAAGTTATGCAACGTCCAATGCGCGGCCTTCCTTTGCAACTTTCAGTTTTACTTGTCGCTAGCGAGAACAGTAAGGCAGTGAGAAAACTGAAACGATGAAACTATTCCTTATCACACATTTTGCGAATGGCCTTGAGTAAGTCAATATAAGCTCGACCTAGAGTTGAAGTGAACCACAGTTCTTTGCTCAAGAACGTCTCAGGACCTCTCCTTACCATTTCCTTGATAACTCTCCTGAATCACTTCCATTCAATCCATCTAAATACGCGTTTTTGAATCAATGATTTCCAGTGATGGGAACTACCACTTTGGCTAGTGGAGTGGCCGCTGTAACTGCAGTGGCCGTCGTCGTCTCGTTGGTGACCGTTGGCTACATCGTCAACGACATCAACACCTTCTACGATGACGTCATCTCTGAACTCGACAGCTTTCAAAGTAAGCACTAATTTTGTATATGAAATACCCATGTAAGATCAGAATCAATATATATTTATTAAGGACCTCGCCAATTCCGCATGGCATGAGATGAGAACCACTCCTGAAATGGCTCGAGACAAACGTGCAACATTTGTAAGGCGCAGACAAACAGGCTACAGCACAGGAGGTGGATCAACATGCAATTGCGGTCAACAAGCCAGCGGTTGTCCCGCTGGACCACCTGGACCACCTGGACAACCTGGACTGCCTGGAGAGGCTGGAGAGCCTGGACAAGCTGGAAGACCAGGAAACAATGGCGGCACCGGTGGAGATAACGGCGGCACTGGTTGCATCTCGTGTCCAGTTGGAGCTCCAGGACCACCAGGTCCTGACGGAAGCGCAGGACCCCCTGGACCCAATGGAAATCCTGGAGCTCCTGGAGGAGGATCTGGAGCGTCACCTCCTGGACCTCCTGGACCACCTGGAGACGCTGGGACAGCCTGGAAGTGATGGTCAACCTGGATCTCCCGGTCAAGCCAGGAGCACCTGGAACTAGCGGAACTGGCCAGCCTGGACCTCCCGGTCCTCCAGGTCCAAATGGATCACCAGGACAACCAGGACCAGATGGCACTGGAGGTGGTGGTAGCAGCGCTGGTCCACCAGGACCACCTGGACCAAACGGAAATCCTGGACAGCCCGGAGCTCCTGGAGCACCCGGGGCACCTGGTACAGATGCTGGGCCAGGTGGTGATGGAGAGTACTGCCCATGTCCTCCAAGAAATGGAAATGCAGGAGGCGGAGGAGGTGGTGGCACCGGAGGCGGTAGCGGTGGTGTCGGCGGAGGAGGCGGAATGGGCGGAGGAGTCGGCGGAGGAGGCGGAATGGGCGGAGGAGTCGGCGGAGGAGGCGGAATGGGCGGAGGAGTCGGCGGAGGACATGGAGGCGGCGGAGGTGGTGGTGGAGGCGGTGGAGCTGGCGCTGGCTACAGTGGTGGACCTGGTGGTGGTTACCGTAGACGTCACGTTTCTCGTCGTCGTTTCACAAAGAAGCGTCTTGTGCTCAGAAGAAAAGCAGCAAAGAAGGCCTAAATGCTATTCATTTGTGTCAGTACTTGAATAAAGCTCTCATTCAAAAAATGTGCTGCAACTTTAACAAGAGCACTTGTTTTATGACAACTGCATACAAAAATACCGCATGAACTTATGGTTAGTGTCTCTCCCAGCAAAACAGAACTAAAAATGGCGATGTAGCTCAAAAAGAAGATTTAAAGGTAAGGTCCTAGCTGAGCCTCACTGAGCAATTGCTCCCGTGGATAAGGTTTGGTGTCGCCACTGCAGAGTGCCACCTTCGCGCATCGAAACATGTCATTGAGACCTAAGGTGTTAAGACTTTGGACAAATCCCACCAGGGAGAATCAGAACCGGGTACCCGATAGGAGGCCCGTCGCGCGGCAAGAAGTCAGAGTGGACGGACAAGTCACAGCGCGTACTGTAGTGGTTTGAAGTTGAGTAGATAGGTAGACATTGTGCGTTTACACGTTTACACATTTACGTCGAACATCACGCGCTGCGCGTCCACTGACTCTGTCTTCTTGCCACGCGACGGGCCTCCTGTCGGGTACCCCTCTGCACCACATAAAGGAGGTATTGTAGGTGAGTGAGTGATTAGTCATACTGTATTCCATGCAGACATGCCCTGCAAACATCAGCTACTCTTTTCTTTGGGTTGCCCGTCTGAATACAAGTATCATGATTAAATTGAAAAGGTAATTCCACACAAATATGTAAGTGGGAATGGGAGGTGGACTGCAAGTGGAGAAAAAGGAAAAGAACACATGAAATACACAGGAAATACGAGCCTTTTGCTCTACGCTGCGGAGAAGTTCAAAAGGGAGGCAGGGGATGAGAGATAGTGTGGGTCGTGGAGAAGGTGGGAGAAGTTAGAGTAGAGAGAGCACAGCATATCAACTTTGCGATGCAAATAAGATATTGAAGACTGGGAGGGCTCTGATGGGTACCCGACAGGAGGCCCGTCGCGTGCCAAGAAGACATAGTCAGCGGCCGAGTCGCAGCGACGTAAACGCACAACGCTATGTTTTTTAAACTCGACGCGAAATCACTACAGTGCGCAGTGACTCGTCCGCCCACTCTGCCTTCTTGCCGCGCGGCGGGCCTCCTATCGGGCACCGGGTGCTGAGTGATACTCGAGTACCGTAGTCCTTCAACGTGGGACGTCGCAGTGACGGCGGCATGGTATGGGATAATTATAATGAATATAATAATTTGAAGGGGGTGCTAATGAGAGTTCTGAGCGTCGCCATTGAATTTAGTTGGTAGCGAGGATGCTATGCAATAAGCTCTGTTTTCGATTCGAATACAAGAGCTATTTGAAGTTNAAAGTATACGGACCTGTGTACTTCAAGTATGTTTCGNTAAATTTCTGTTTGAGCATTCTCACCCTATGACAGGGGAAACAACGCTTGAATAGGGGAGAAGGTGTCGCATGAGGTCACTACTACCCCAGTTGTCAATCCAGGATCGCACTTGCCGGCCTCATAAGTATTCCTCACTTAAGTGGCGCGCGAATGGCAATCGTATCATAGAGATGTATCGAGTCCGCTGTACTGTTCACGAATTACATCTCCTCAACTCATTGCCTAGTGACGATGAATCTGGGCCAAGCTTCCTGTTTATTTGTCGTCTCATGCAGGTATTGGCAGGCAGGGTTCCAACGAGCCGGGAACTTGATACCCGGTGTGTCCGAAGTGCGGCGATTCTATGACTTCCTTTATTAGATGAGCACATGGCAATTGGTGTGATATACTGGCTTAATGGTTTCGTCATCTCGAAGGCCGCCAGTTCGGTTACTGAAGCGTGTGTGGCTCAATCCTTATAGATGGAGTCTATCCTTTCCCCACCAACGTAATATACTGTGAATTCAGCGGACTGCCATTGCTGGGCTCGGCTCATTTTTCTTGATTTTGGATGATTTCTTGTGTAGAGCTTATTCGTACCCCAAGTTCTCTCTATTGGCGCACTCATTTGAGTGTATAAATAAATAAATAAATAAATAAATAAATAAATAAATAAATAAATAAATAAATAAATAAATAAATAAATAAATAAATAAATAAATAAATAAATAAATAAATAAATAAATAAATAAATAAATAAATAAATAAATAAATAATTAATCATAGACAAAAAAACAAAACATTGACCTGTACATTGCTTTGGTACTGGATCGGGCGTTTAAAATTTTGAAGTTGAAGGTCATTGTAACTCTCATTATGCAATCAGCCAATGGCTATAAACTCAAAGACAGGTGGCACGATAATATGTATGTTGAAGAAAGACATGTGCACCTACTATAAAGAAGTTCTGTTACCCATTGAAGCAAAACGTGGCGCTTTTGAGGGCCAAAGAGGGCTTCCCGGTTCCTTATAACGCCTCATCCCTCCATTGCTTAGCGCAGAAAACGTTTTGAAAATCTTTTCTTTCAAAAATCGAATTCGGCCGATTGACCTCTGGGGTACTAATAGAAACCTATGGCAGGAAAAAGGTTCTCCTTCAAGATAATCTAGCACATGCTATAAAGTACTGATCTTGTTGATTTCAGTGGTCTTTACCGCTTCTCAATGTACCGACTTGAAGAACTTATGGCCATTTGAAGGTTGAAAACTCGCGTTTCAAGAGAATGGCCTGAAAAGCCATTGAGAGGGCGGAATTTCTCGAGAGTGTTGATCTAGAAAAATCTTGATATCTCTCAAAAACTCAATCTTCTTGTTTCTAACTAGCTTTGAAAATCTGCAAAAAGTTAATAATGAAGAAGTTATGAATTTCACGAAAACTCGCGCGTTCTCAAAAATCGGACCACAAACCCCCAAAAACGGAACAACGGGACTATTTTTTGAGAAAGATCGTTGGAAAAATTCAGGTGCTTTTTCGAAAGCTCTAATCTTCTAGTTTCTAATTAGCCTTAGACATCTGCAAAAAGTTGATTATGAAGAAAGTTATGAATGTTTGAATGTCGAAAACTCGCGTGTGCACAAAAAACGGAACAACGGGACGATTTTTTGAAGAATTGAACATTTGCAACAGTTTAAAAACTTTTTAGAAAGAAAACAATTTGAAGTTTTTAAATTTTTGTATCCCATCTCATGAGACCGCTTTTGAAGAAAGATATAACCTTTAAATGAAGAGGTTTGTATCGTAACGCGATTGCTGCAAGGTTCAGTTATTCAGTTTCAAAAAATGAGGTTTGCAAGTTTGAAAAATGGGTAGGAATCTAAAACTAGAAATTTCTGCTATCACTATCTTGCCAGTTTTACGCAAAAAATGGAAAACCTCTTCTATTTGGTGAGTGAAATTCTCATGTTGCCTCGATTCCTATCCTCTGAGCGAGACAAAGCGCGCGGACTTACCACTGTCCACCACCTCTCCATGTCGGTGACGGCCCATACACCGATGATGGGCCTAAAATATGTAAAAAGACACAATAGCTAATACGGAGGGGGTCGTACTCCGAAAGGAGAGGACTCTGATGTTTCAAAATTGCGCAAAATACCGGTGACGCTGTGCACAACTATCGTACTCCTCCTCTTGGGGACAACTTAACCCATTCGCGACCGCGCCGGTTTGCGCATTAGCAGGAGAGTCAGGAGATTTTTCTTCAATAAAATTTGAGTGGATGGAGATTCCCCGTGCCCAAGGCTGGCATAGATGAATGAGGGTATGAAGATTCTTTTCAGGAAAGAAAACTTTCCAAATTCCATTTGAAACACGGCAGCCCGGTGGATACCATTGTACAAGTGAGATCTTTGTCAGCCACCGGTGGCTGCCATTGTCACGAATGGGTTAAGATAAAACAAGGTGATGTGATGCCTTTGGCTTCCATCAAACATCCAGTGTTGGCTTTGCTGGTTCCACACAGCGTCACCAGACTCATTTTACATCGGTTTCACTGAACTGTTCATCCTTGAAAACTCAGCACGCGTGGCTTTCCGGAAAAGTCACATCGCGAAAGCCGTTGAGTAATGTGTTTTTGTTTACAGGCAAACTTCTCTGCAAACGTGAGTTTGTGGAGAAAAAAAAGCGGTGGGCGGTGCTTAATTGATCCTTTAACGAGCGATTCTCGATCCTGAATATGGCTAAATTGGTCATCAGCAGGTAAATCACCGACTAATTGCACAGCACTCAGTCATAGCCTTTTACAGCCTGACGAGCCACACGTGGTTGCCGTACTTGTCGTGTTTGATCTTCAGTCTAAGATTTTGCGTCACAGCATGAGGTAAACTAGGGTCCACGTGGCTCATTAGCAGTACTACTTTAGCAAATCAACTATGGTTTTTGGGCTATATTCTATCCGTAAATCTTCTATTTTCTGCCCACTCCACGATAAAGTCAGAGATGGAGAAGAGGATATACAGAGGGGGAGGAGGGGGAGGAAAAGGTAAGGAGGGGGAAAACAGGTTGCACATCACCAAACGTTTTGCCGTACAGCGTGCCACTGTGATAGAAGTTGTGTTCCTCAGATGTTTCCCCATGAGCAGGCTCTCCTTCCCTGCCCCCACCGTCGAGCTCAAGGAGGCCTACCGTAATCGGGTCTTTCAGGGCAAACTGGGCTTTCTCAAAATGGTTTCTCGCAAATTGTAAGGACGCATGTACAGGGGTGGCCAAAAAAAGAGACACTTTGCCCATGGCGCACATCATCAAACTTTTCGTCGCACAGGGTGCCGCTGTTGATGAAAGTTTTACGGCAAAATATTCCCTTAGATGTCCTCCCATAAGCAGAAGCAGGCCCTCCTTCCACTGCCCTCCTCCTTCAAAATATGACGTCATCTTCCATCACCGTTGAGCTCAAGAAGGCCTAAAGTAATCGTTCCAGCCTGAAGCTGCTACGGAATTTCTTTGATCGGTTAACTGACGGAATGCTTTCTAGGGAAAGTAGCTCGGAACACGCAAGACCTCTTACGACCAGCTTTTCGGATACCGTCATAAAGGTCCGTGATTCGCCGAGGACCAGTTGAGCTCGAATCGTGCCCAAGGTTCTCATGGCGAATTCTTGTGATATCCTTGGCGCAGAAGCT